TTTTTGTTTTTTTTTTGCAATTACTCTTTAAATTTATTATTTATTATTATTATTTTTATTTTATGAATATGAGTGTATTGCCTGCATGTTTTTAAGTGAACCTGTGTCTTGCAGTGCCTGTGAAGGATTGAAGAGGGTGGTGGATCCTGTTTAACTGGAGTTATAGATGGTTGTTAGCTGCCATGTGCATACTGGGATTCAAACCCAGGTCCTCTGGAAGAGCAGCCAGTGCTCTTAACCTCTGAGCCATTTCTCTATCCCCATTTCTTTCTGTTTAAAAAAAAAAAATTTTTATATGTATGAGTGTATTGCCTGCATGTGGGTAGGTGCACCTGTGTCGTACAGTGTTCTTGGAGATCAGAAGAGGGCATCAGATCCCCTGCAACTGGAGTTATAGATGGTTATTAGCTGCCATGCTAGGAGTTGAACCCAGGTCCTCCACAGGAGCAACCAGTGCTCCTAAATGCTGAACCATCTCTCTAGCCCCAATATTTATTTCTTCTTTTTAGAACTTTCTGTTCAGATCTCTAGCACCTTTTTTATTGGATTATTTGTTCTATTGATTATTTTTTGAGTTCTTTGTATATTCTGGAAATTAACTCTCTATCAAATATATAGCTGGCAGAGCCTTTCCCACTCTGGGCTTCCTCATCACTCAATTGGTTGTTTCCTTTGCTATGCAGAAGATTTTTAGTTTGGTGAGGTCCTATTTATCAATTGTTGGCCTTAATTCCTGAGAGAATGGAGTCTGATTTATAAAGTCCTTACCTACACCTATACCTTGTATTGTACTGCCTATATTTTCTTCTAACAGTTGGCAGTATTTCAAGTTTCATTTGAGGTCTTTGGTCCATTTGGAGCTGATTTTGTGGTTTTTTTTTTTTTTCGGTCTTTTTGATACAGGGTCTTCTGTAGCCCCACTTGGCCTGGAACTCACTATGTAGACCTGGCTGGCCTTGAACCCAGAGGATCTACCTGCCTCTGCCTCCTGAGTGTTGGAGCTGATTTTGTACAGGGTGATAGTTACGGGTCTAATTTCATATTTCATTCTTCTACACATGGACATCTAGTTTTCCTTGCACCATTTGTTGAAGATGTTTCCTCCAGTGTATATTTTTGGCATTTTTGTCAACTATCAAGTGGCTGTCATTGCATGTACTCATTGATGGGTCTTCTATTTTGTTCCATTGAACTACATGTCTTTTTGTTACAGTACCATGCTGTTTTTTATCACTATAGCTTTGTAATATAGCTTGAAATCTGGTATGGCAATTCTTCTAGCATTGTTCTTGCCTTGGCTAGTAGCCAGTGTCTTTTGTGCTTCCATATGAATTTTAGAGCCTTTTATTTTCCTATTTCTGTGAAGAATGTCTTGGGGATTTTGATTGGGATTGCATTGAATCTGTAAATTACTTTTGGTTGGATGGTCATTTTCACAATATTAATTCTGCCAATCCGTGAGCATAGGAGGTCTTTCCATCTTCTAGTTCTTCCTCAATCTCTTTCTTCAAAGTTGTAAAGTTTTCACAATAAAAAGAGACTTTCACAATAAGTTATTTGAAAATTTTTCTTTCACAATTTCATACACACACACACACACACACACACACACACACACACACTTTGAGCATATTCTCCCCATTGTCCTCTTTTATCCCCTTACCCCTTCCATTTTACCCCTTCTTAATAAGTGTCCCTCTTACATTTATGCCTGTAATAAATTCTTTATACTTGCCTCCATATGCCTGATGTCATTATTCATATCATAGCTATTTGTCCATGCTTCTAACGGTATATTAACCCATCTTAATGTTTGACACATTTTGAAGTAAATTGCAGATAGCTGTATACTTCCCCATATATATACTGTATACTTCAGTATAGATTATCACTAATGTGAGTTCAATATTTATCTATTTTCTTCTTTGCAAAACTTAACCATAAAATATGCAGATTTTAAGCTTAAATTGTTTGATGAATGTATTTCTATAATCCCAAACCCCAGTAAAAGATGTGAAATATTAACTATCAGCCCAGCACATTTTCTCATGCAGCTTTGCACAGTTGGTGGTCTTCATCCTTTTTCCATGGTTGATCCTTGATCTTGTGCCATTATGGTTGTTTTTATTTAAACATACAAATTTTAAAGGATTTTGAGTATATTTTAGCCATATGATGAACTTCATTTGTAAGGAACAATAAAGAAAAAGGTGTATATGTAACAAATTGAGAGACTGGGCTACTATTAAAATGTTCTTTTTTTAAAAACTGTTGACTTCAAAGGCAGCGATATGACATTTTAAATAATTTTTCTCTTGATTCTGCAAGCACCCCTGCTACTTTGGAACAGAACTACATAGTTTGCGAGCTGCATCAAAAAATAAGTGTGCTGTTTTCCTTTTTGAGAAGCCACCTGAAGAAGAAGAGTATTGTATTTTTCTCCAGTTGCAAAGAGGTATCGACTGTTTAGTTTTCCCCTTTGAACATGTTTGTGTTGGATCACCCACTTAAGCTATCTAATTGCTGTTAGACAAATACTTATTTTGTGTGAGATACATAGTGCTAGGAGATGAATTTAAAGTCTTTTATTTATTATTTTTATTTAATGTGTATGAGTGTATTGCCTGCATGTAGGCAGGTGCACCAGTGTCATGCAATTCCCGTGGAGGTCAGAAGAGGGCGTCGGATCCCCTGGAATTGGAGTTATGGATGATTGTTAGATGCCATGTGGGTACTGGGATTCAAACCCAGGTCTTCTTCAAGAACAGCCAGTGCTCTTAACCGCTGAGCTATCTCTTCAGCTCCAACTAGGAGACAAATTTATAGATAATGAGAATCCTGTATTTTTGTTGAAAAAGAAATCATGAATGAGGCTTTAAGCTCCGGAAGGGTAGAAACTTTGCCTATTTTTCTTCAGTACTGCTTTAGGTATTAATGATTCTGGAAATGTAGCCTCGAATAACTATTGGTAGAAAGAACAATTTTTAGTTGGACAAATTGACACTTAGAACTGGGGGGCAGATCCTCTTCCCTTCAGGTAGGGAACAGAGTATCTTTTTCTCTGTCCTCTCTTTGCTCATGCTCATGTCTGTTTGCAGTGTTTTCCCTATATACCTTTATCCTGATTTTGGGTAAATAGTCGGTGCTCTTAAAGTTAAGTTCAGTTGTTTTACCTGAAAGTTCTTTTCAAAATCTTTTAAGAATCAGTTGTTCCCTTTTTAAATCCTTTTACAATATTTCGTAATATTGTTACTAAATTATTTAGTTAATGATTCATGAATACTAGCCATGAATTAGGAATAAGGGATTGAGAGTTGTGTAAGAAAACTCGTTTCCTCCCTGAAGAGAAGAGACTGTAGTTGATTTATATACCACTTTCCCTCTGTATTTAAGATTTCTATTGATCTATAGGCATTAATAAACTCTAGATTTATAACTTTTTTTTTGTCTTTTTGAGACAGGGTCTCCCTGTAGCCCCAGGTGGCCTGGAACTCGCTATGTGGACCAGGCTGGTGTCGAACTCACAAAGATCCGCCTGCCTCTGCCTCCCAAGTGCTGGCATTAAAGGCGTGCACCACCACACCCAGATTTAGGTTTATAACTTTTATAGTAGTCTAGCATGAGTATGCAGGCGAGTTTCTTAACTTACAGGAAGATAAGAGGTGATCTATTTCTGTTGTCTACTGAAGTCTGTCATTTGCCTCGTAAAGAATGACTTCAGATAGTCTTAGGAGTATTTCAGATTTTTTTTAAACTTGGCATCTCCTAAGAGAAGAGTTTGTTATCTAGAGAATTGAGAATCTCCAATTCTGTATGTTTTTATCCTAATGTTCTGCTTTTCTTCTTGTCACAGTAGTCACTTTTCCTTGCTCTGGTGTCTTTCAGTATGTTAGACTGTTCATCACAGTGACAGAATAACTGATGTAAATACCTTGAGGGAAGAATTGATTATCTTAGATCATGGTTTCAGAGGTTTCAGTCTGTCATGTTCAGGAAGGCCTGGCTGAGCAGAGCACCTCATGCCACGGTAGCCAGGAAGCAGAGAGTAAATACCTGTCCCAGATGCTGCCCACATTCAGCCTCCCACCTCTTAGTAAATCCTCTTTGGAAAAGCCCTCACAGACATATCCAGAGGACACACTTTATTAATCTCCTGGGCACGTCTCAGTTTAGTAAGTTGAATCAAGATTGGCTATCACAGTTAATCAAGATTGACTATTCCCTTGACGAACCCTCCTGTGTGTTCTTATCCCTGTCCTCATTTGCTTAATGCCTTTGCTATTGCAAATACTCTTTGTCTTGTCCATTTTTTTTTCTCTTTACCTTTTGTTGATATCGATATTGCCCATATTAACAATTAAAGCAAATCCAATGTCCCTTCCCAGTTCCTACCTTTTTTGTCATCGTTGTTTGTTTTTAAATTTTGTTCTTTTTGTTTTTTTTTGAGATAGGGTAGACCAGGCTGGCCTCCATCTCACAGAGATCTGCCTCTGCCTCCTGAGTGCTAAGATTAAAGGCATGTTATACCTCATCTGCCTCCTTTCTCCATTCTTCATAGCAATGTCTTTTAAAGACTTGCCTCTACAAGCTGAATCACTCTCTAACCCTTGTTTCTTCACTTAGCTTTCTATGGAGTCAGCTCTTAAAAGGATAGGCTTTCAGTCAGTGTTCAGCCATCAGTCCTTATCTTACTTGACCTCAGAAGCACTAGTTAGAGCTGTCTACTCCCCTCTTTGAATTTTGTGGCTCCACGCTCATTAACCCGTCCTTCTTCCACCTTACTTTCTGGCTTCCCTATTTTAACTACCTTTGCTGTTTTTTTTTTTTTCTGTTTGACTACTGTACTTTAGAGTACTTCTGACTTCTCTGTTCTGTCCTTTTTCTTTCTATGCTTTGTTTGTAGGTAACCTCCTGATGTTCATGGTATGAATTCCATCTGTATATCATCAACTGCCAATCCACCTCTTAAACCCTGACTTTTATTCTGATCTCCCCCTTGACTCCTGAGAATATCCAATTGTATATAGAGGCTGCTCAGATTTAAATAAGAACAATTTAAGAGTTGCTTTCCCTAGATCTGCTTTCCCCAACTTTTATCTATTTCTTTAATCCTTAATTCCCATCTTTTCTTCCATAGTCAAGCTATTGCTAACTCACTACCCATAACACTTCTCATCACCTCTCATGCTTCAGGCAGTCAGGGCTATGTTTAACTTTCAGTTAGTTTCCTTTTCATTTCATTCTTTTGGTTTTTATCCTTTATAGCCAAAGTAGCCTTTGGGAAGTGGACATTAGAATATGCCTAAAACCCTCTAATGACTTTCTGTGAGTTGGAGTCAAATTCCATGCTTAGAATCTCCAAGACTTTATATTCCACACACCCTCTAATGACTTTCTGTGACTTGGAGTCAAATTCCATGCTTAGCGTCTCCAAGACTTTATATTCCATACTTGTCTTCTACCTCAGCTATTTAACTAAAGAGCAGGGATTCAAGGTCAGTCTTGATTCAAGAGAGTCAGATTGAAGAAAATTTTCATGAAGTCATTTATACTGACTGATTTTCTGTATATGCTTTTCTGAAACTGATTTGCCTCATTACTTCTGGGGCTTGCAGATTATTCTTTCCCAGCTCCCCTTTCATGGTGGCCCTTTGCGTTTCTTTACAAAAAAAAGGCACAAGTCTATTATTCCTGATTTTTACTTATACAGTGTGCTGGAATCAGAGCTTTCCTGGCTCTAGAATGCTAAATAAAATAAAAGAAGTAGTAATAAAACAGCAGTGGTTGGTCTGGAAAGGAGGATGACACGCCCTTCAGAAGAAATGCAGTTTATTGGAAGAAAGGGCTGGGAGGCCATCAGTGGGCCTTGGGGTCAGGGGGAGAACATTAGAAAGAAAGAATACAGTATATATCAGTTTAAGCATGACAGGGTCTTAAAGAGAAGGAGAGAGCTCCCCTTTAAAACCTGGAGAGGAGCTTCATTAAAGTGAGAGTGAAAGAGAGTAAGGCAGAGACAGAGAGTACTGTCATGAGGGATGGGGTGGTGTTGGGTGGAGATCAGAGAAGCCCTTTCAGAGAGCAGCCTTCAGACCACTTCTGAGAAAATCCTAAGAACAAAGGAAATATCAAATCTTGTATAAGTTTTTGGGGACTGGTGGGAAGTTTCACATCACAGGAGAAAGTGAATACAGCACGTTAGTATAGGAAATTAAAGGTACAACTGAAAGCATTTGTTTTAGAAATTAAGAATTGTAATGTGATCTGTGAAAGACTCTCAGTTTTAAAATCTAAGTTGCAGGGCTGGAGGGATAGTGCAGCTGTTAAAGGCTAAGGCTAACAACCAAAATGTTAAAAATCTACGTTGTAGTTCTGTGAGGTCAGGGTATATAAATGAGCGTTACAAGAGGAAAGGAAATAAAACTTCTGTTCAAGAGGCATTTCTTTACATATTTTTCATTTGATGAATGTCAAATAACTTTGCTATTTAGGATATTTATAAGACAGAACTGTTTTGTTTTATCTTACTTTATATATTTAAAAAGTATTTATTTTTATTTTATGTGCATGAATGTATCATTTCCTTGTATGTAAGTGCAACAGTCTCATGTAGTGCCCATGGAGGTCAGAAGAGAGTGTCGGATCCACTAGAACTGGAGTTCTGGTTGTTGTTAGCCTCCATGTGGGTGCTGGGAATTGGACTTGGGTCCTCTGCAAGAGTAGCCTATGTACCTAACAGCTGATCCATCTCTCCAGCCCCAGAACTGTTTATTTTAAAATAGCCATTTTATAGAAGTTATATTCTTACAACTATTCAAAATTGGAAATAATTTAAATAACTTACAAATATAAAAAGAACATTATTTTTTTCCAATTATTTTAGGAAATATGTGAGCAAAAATGTTGGAAAGCCGTACATAACTCTTTCTTTTTTCTGCTCCGTATTTAAAACTTTCAGTAGTAAAATTTGTGCTCTTAACACAGTTTTGTGTTCATTGACTAAGCTCTGCTGTTTCCATCTAGAAGAACCAAACTCATCCTTCTGTTTATACCCAGGTTCAGTATCTGTACAGAGTGTTTTGCCGCCTCCGCCCAGGCATTTCTATCCTTGCTCTTCATGGTCGTCAACAGCAGATGAGAAGAATGGAAGTCTACAATGAGTTTGTCCGAAAGAAGGCCGCAGTACTCTTTGCTACTGATATTGCAGCCAGGGGTTTGGGTAAGCAAACATCTTGGGATACCATTTTTGTGATCATGGGAAATATAATTTACTTATAGGGCATTTTTCTGAAAATCTCAGAGTCTTAAATCTCAGATAATTGGGCCTCTAAAAATTTTGGGGGAGTTATTCATACAAACTCACAGCAATGGTGACAGCATGCATAAGTCCTATGCAAGCTCAAACCAGACAAAATCCCAGCATAGACATGGGGAAGTGGGTAAGAATCCCAACCTAACCTAAGGAACTTTTGGTAATTGATGGCTGCTGGGTGGGGGAAGAGACAGTATCTTACAGGGATGGGACTCTTGGTGGACCCAGTAGATGCCCCCACATTGAAGGACATTTAAGAATACAAATCAAACTCCATAGGCTGTATTATGTTTATAAGAGAGTATATTTGGATAGGGAGGGGATCTGCATACCATCAAACTATATTTTATGAAAATTGCAAAAATTCAAGAAAAATTAAATCTTGTAAGAGGGAAATTAGTAAATTGATAAGTTGATGAGCATTAAGGATACCACTGAAACATTGTTTTAATTGCATCTTTTGAGCTCTTGCTAATGTTTCATGATAATTAAATCCTAGAATCCTGAGTCGCCTGCACAGTTATCAAAGGAAAGTTAAAGGATTAAAGGTTTAAAGATAAGAAAAATTCTTATACTTGGAAACTGGAAAATGGTTGTTAATAAGAAAAATCAGTAAAATCCATATTTTCACCAATCATTCTGATTTTGTTTTCAGAAAGATACTGTGATATGTGGTTTGGTGGGGATTAGGGGAAGATTGAAGATAGGAGAGCAGAACTAGTTTGGAGATAGGTATAAGAATAAACAGGTAGTGACCTAATTGTGTTAATTATAGTGCATACATAAACAGTAGGTCAAAGTACATTATCCTACATTAGCAATTATATATGTATACACGTGTGTGTGTGTGTGTGTGTATGTGTAAAATTTTTTTTTTTAAAGATAGGGTCTCATGTAGTCCTGGCTGGCCTGGAACTTGCTATATAGACCAGGTTGGCCTCAAAGTCATAGAGATCTACCTGCCTCTGCCTCCTCTGTGCTGGAATTAAAGGCCTGCAGTGCCACCCCTGGCTGCAATGATCTTTTTTTTTTTTTTTTTTTTACATTTTTCCTTGTCTTCCTGGCCCTCTTAGAATGTTTAAAAAATTCTTTTTAAGTAAAAACAATTGAGTCTCTTTTTATTCTAATCTGAAATCTTTGCTGTAGCAAAACCCATAATGACCAGAGGTAATTCTGTGAAATTGTGAATAGAGTGCTTTGGAAATGAGTAAAAGTTGCAGTAGTCAGAAATATATAGAGTAATTACTGGTAGAACACAAGGAGACGGTTTTAGAAAGATTGTTCAGTTGAAATCAGGACTAGAAGGAAAAGTAAACCTTTGTATGAATTCAGAAATCAATCTTTTTGTAATTTTCATTTATTTTTATTATTTTGTGTGTATGCTCATGCATGTACACGTGCATGTGTATACAGGTAAGTGTGTGTGTGTGTGCACAGGTGTGTAGAGGATGTGAAAAACAGGTTGATGTCAAGTATCTTCTACTGCTCTCCACTTTATTTTTTGAGACAGTCTGTCTGAGCTTGGAGCTCACTGATTCTGCTAAAGTAACTAACCAGTAAGCCCCAAGGATCCTCATGTTATGTCTCCACCTTCCCATGCTGGGATTATAGGCAAGTACTGTGGAGCTTGACTTTCTAAAAGTTTTTATATGAGTGCTAGGGATCCAGACTAAGGTCCTCATGCTTGTGTGACAGGCAGATGACCAACTGAGCCATCTTCTCAGCCCTGGAAACCAGTTTTTGGTTCACTGGGAGCCTGTGAAGGGTGCTACTTTTAGGTTATTAAACAGCAGGATATTTTATTATTTGTCAGACACAATGCAATCTATGTTTTCTATGTCAGATATGAAATAATTTTCACATTCAAATACTGTTGCTAATTTTAGTTTACTTTGTCAAAGTTGAGAAATGTTTATAATTTTTTGATTCATGAAATCTTTGTTTTTTAACAGAGTCCTTATCAGTGTGCTATAATAGAAAGTTTTGGCACACAATGTTGTAAAATAAAAATAGTACAGCAGGGCAGATACTTAAATTTTCTTTTCTTGGTGTTTCTTCTGTATAGATTTCCCAGCTGTGAATTGGGTTCTTCAGTTTGATTGTCCAGAGGATGCCAACACCTATATTCATAGAGCAGGTAGAACTGCCAGGTAGGTGTTCTGGCCCATTTTTTTGCTTTTTGTACTGTTTTTTAAAAGTATTTTTTTTAAATTATTTTTTATTTTATTTTATGTGTATGTATTTGCCTGCATCCATGTAAGTACACCCATGTTATGCAGTTCCCCCAGAGGTCAGAAGAGGGTTTAGGATCCCCTGGAACTAGAGGTATGGACTGTTGTTAGCTGCTCTGCGGGTGCTGGGAACCCAACCTGGATCCCCTGCAAGAGCAGCCAGTGCTCTTAACTGCTGAGCCATCTCTCCAGCTCCCATATCTGTGTTCTTAATTTCTGTAATATAGGTTCTAGTAAGAGACAGGGATAATAGGAGCTATAGATTTCTTTTTCCTTTCTTCTGGATGAGAATTAAAGGCATTAGTGAGAGCCCTTCCTAATTAAAAAAAAAAAATTGTTTCCCTTTTTGACACTTGTACTCTATACCTGCTCAAGATGTAGGGAAAGTGTCCAGAAAAGAAGACAAAGTCACAGATATTTGAAGGAAAATGATGCAGTATAAATGTATCTGAATGAATGGAAAGGATTACATAATATGTCAGTACTATTGAAGTTGTAGTGAAATTGGGGGAGACATATGTTTCAGCTGAAGTGAAAGGTTTTCAGTAGCACAAGTAGAGTTCTTCCTTTCCTATTTCCTAGCTTTCTAACTGCAGATAGTTAACTCTTTTCTGGGTAACATTTGGTAATGCTTATCACATGCCTTGGGGTACTTCTTTTTGCTTTAAAAATTCTGCATCCAGAAGTTGATCATAAGAAAATAGAGAGATAAGACTTGGATGTTGATGATTTGGGCCTATAATCCCAGCTACTTGGGAGACCAAGGCAGGAGGATCGTTAAGTTCAGGGTTAGCCTGGGTAACTTAGACCCTGCCCTTAGAAGAGGGTTGGGGTGTATATCTTAGTGGAAGAACTCTTGCTGTAGCATGTATGAGGTCTTTAGTGTCTGTCATGCAAGCATGAGGACCTGAGTTCGAGTTCCCAGCTCCCACATAAAAAATCTTCACTTGGTGGCATGTGTCTGGTCTGTATTCCCAGAACTGTGGGGTGGAGGCAGGTGGATCCCAGGACTCACTGGCCAGTCATCCTAGCTGAGTGGATGAGCTCTAGGTTCAGTGAGTAACCCCACCTCACCTCAAGAAATAAGGAAGAGAGTAGTTGAGGAAGATTGACTCCTGGCCTTCACATGCATATGAACACTTGAATCTGTGTACCTCCCTGCATGTGTGCACACATTCACATGAACATGTACATATACCACACACAGAGAAAACAACAGAAAAGGAAAACAGATGAATAGCATTTCAGTGAAGTTGTTATAATACTGGTGTTTATAATGTTAGGAATTGTAAATAACCTACTATTAAGTACAATGAAGTTATGTTTAATTATGATTAGCCGTAGTTGGACTATTTCTTTAGTCTCACATTTTCTTACTATTTTCCTTGTAAATAAAACTGTATAATTTGGTACTTACATGGAGTTTGATATTGTTCTAACTGGACTGGCATCTGCTTTTGATTTCAAACCTTGAGCTTTTAAGGGTTTGCCAGGGACAGTAGGGCCTTTGGATGCAAGAGCTAAGTCTTTGTTCACATAAAGACTGCTTCTCCTCCAGACTTGATTTTTCTACCTGCTTTGTACTTACTTCATGAATTAAAGTATCTTCTATCCCTTGCTTATCTAACCAAGTCCTTTGGGATTTAGTGCCCTACTTTTCTTCTTCCTTCTCTGCCTCTCCTCCCTTCTCTGCTTCCTTCTTTCCAAATGTTTTCCCCTCTTTTCTCCTTTCCTCTCTTCCCTTCTTTCACTCTAGTTTTTAGGTAACTGAAGATAAAATCGAGTTTTTTAAATGTAGAGACATTTGTTTCAGCTGAAGTGAAAGGTTTTCAGGTAGCACAAGTAGAGTTCTTCCTTTCCTATTTCCTAGCTTTCTTTTTATTTAGTTTTATTATTTTTATTTTATGTGTATGAGTGCATTGCCTACATGTATTTAAGTGCACCCATGTCATGCAGTGCCTGCGGAGGTGAAGAGGGCATCAGATCCCCCGGAACTGGAGTTAGGGACGGTTGTTAGCCTTTATGTCAGTGCTAGGAATTGAACCCCGGGTCCTCTGTAAGAGCAGTCAGTGTTCTTAACCACTGAGCAATCTCTCCAGGCCCCCCCCCACTTCTCTTTTTAAAAATCTTTGTATTTGTATGTGTGTGTGTATATGTGTGTGTGTGTGTGTGTGTGTGTGTGTGTGTGTGTGTTCGTACCACAGTGCATGTGTGTAGGTCAGAGAATAACTTTCAGAAATTGGTTATTGCCTTACCACATGGACCACAGGGATTGAATTCAGGCTTGTTGGCAAGTGCCTCTGCCTGCTGAGCCATCTCGCTGGCCCTGGCCCTTCCCACTCCCAGAAGGATGCTGTGATGGTCCACCTGGCCTTTCCCAGGGACTACACTCTGTGGTTTTCATAGTACCTTAAGACTATATATATTTTTTGGTTGATTTGAATTTACCCTGTGGATCAACTTCAAACATAGCTGTAATAAAAGATATAATCGTGTGTTTTCTTTTGAGAACAAAAGAAGGGCGACAGTAGTACGTACAGTAGGGAAAGTATTTTAAAGTAGGAGTGTTGTACTAGAAAGTACAAAAGTATGTCTCTGAATTGGATTAGTAGCATGTTTTAAACAAGCACTAAGGATCAGGACTGGATTCTGTGGAAAATGTCATTACAGTTAGACAAACTAACCTTTAAATTTTGTTTTTTTTCCCCCAAGATTTAAGAAAAATGAGACACAGAGGAGCTGTTTTATTATTATTTGTGTGTGTAAGTGCATGATGTGTATGTGGGCACATGTATCATGGTGTGCTTATAGAGGTCAGAGCACAACTTTGTGGAGTCAGTTTTCTCCTTCCACTTTGACTTGAGTTCCAGGTGGTCTGACTTTTGTGGCAAGTGCCTTTACTTGCTAAGTCATCTTGCCAGCTGTTTCAGTTTCTTAAGACTGTGTACCTTAGTGGTCTTTAATATGTTGGGTTCTTATTTGGATTACTCTTCATAGTGAGAACTTCTGAGAAGTTGTTAGTGGCGGTTAGTGGAATAAATCTTTTCTGCTATGGTTTGATTTCCCTTAGTAAGCATGTAGTTTATATGAATTGGTGCATGTGTTCTCATACATCTGCATTTTATGGTCCTGTAGATCTTTGGGTAGGAATGGTTGGATATGGCATCTTCCAAGCATTTTAGACCAGAGAATTCTTTACAGGCCTTTTACATGTGCCAATGGTGTGAATGTGGAAATGTGGAAAGGGCAGATTGATGCTCTTATAGATTACGCTTAGCAATATTTTAAAATCTTCCTTTATGAGATTGATGATTTATTTTACTATGTCAAGAAATGGTTCAAGAAAGGGAAATATTTCCACATTCTTAGTTCTGGAGAAGTTGGTGGAAATATAATGTAGTTGAACATTCTGTGGTGAGCATTAAACTGATGATTGTGGAGAGGAAATCTTAGGACAATGTTTAAATGCTTTGTCTGAAAAGACAATACTATATTTCTTTAAAGAGAATAACTGTTTTAAAGAATGTCTTAATGTATTAACTCAGTCATTAACTTTTAAAGTAGGAGTTTGAGCCTTCATAAGCAACACATTCTGAATTGAGTCTTAGATGTATAGTCAGTGAAAAGTTGAGCATATATAATGCTTGTTTTTTTTGCTGGCAGTTTAAAATGGCCATTAATGGGCTTAGAGATAATGAGAAAGCTTCTGGCCCATGAGACTGAATAATTGAGTTGAATAAAGGCTAAATTAAAATTTGAAACTAATTAAAATCCTGTATTAGCCTGTAAGTAAAGCCAGGTTGCCAGGTAGTGTTTGCTTTTGGAATTGAATATATTTCTATATTTAATAAATATAGAAAAATGAATTTGTTGGCAAAATTGCTACAGTTGGGGAAACTGCCTTTTTTTTTTTTCCTGTGTTTTACCCCCCCCCCCCTCAAAGGGTGATTTAGGTATTTGTTGTCTTCAAGTAGTTACTGTTCTAATGGACTTTTTACCTTAAATTAATTCTTTGGGTCTATAACATTTGAAAAATTTCCCTCTGTTTTCCTTAATCCCTTTAACAACATGAAATCCTTTTTGAAACAAGCAAATCAAGAGGTGTGTATGTAGTTTGTAATGTATCCTGTGGTATCATTTAAAGGTAAAAGTCTTTAAGGCTTTCAGTTTTTGGTACTCAAAAGCCCAAGTTTTTAAATTTAAAATAAAAACTTGAAGATGAAAATATAAAAGATTTGTAACTGGAAAGTAGGCACACACCAGATACTCCTTTTGTGGTACGGGAGGCTGGAGGTAGAAGATGGGAGTCCGTATGTAACTCTTTTCTGTTCTAGAGTACTGGGTAAGAAGAGAATTTCAATTATATTCTAATTCTGCCTTATCTTAGGCCCCAAACTGTGATTCCACTAGGGGACAGTAGAGTCAAACTTTTCCTTTGCATACTTGATACTGTCACTGTAAATCTGAATGGAAAATATGAAGTTGTAAACTAGTCAAAATTCTTAAATTGGGAAGGATTCATGGTTTGCAGAAATACCAATATTTTAAGGAATTAATGAGAATTTTTAAACAGAGTTCTTAACTTGTTTGCAAACTGAAATAATAGAGAAAAGACAGTTTCCATGAGAATTAATTTATTTAAGCTTAGTGTGAATTTATTAGATATAAGCTAGGAATAATCTTTGCTAGTAAAATTTCTTCTTTTTTATTTATTTAGCTGAAAATTTTAGAAGTTTTACTTTCAGTCTGCTTATTCCAGAATGTAGTGGGCGTTTCCTTACATGGCTGCCTGCCTTTGTTTATTGGTACCTAGGACTTAAAGTCTTCGTAAATGGCAAAGCAGGGCCTTCATTTTCTAACTTGAAGTGTTGAAGGAGCTAGGTAGAATACAGCCAGTAGAGATGCAGAGATATATAAGG